GAAATGAGGTAAGCTATTTTTATGCATTTGCAAAGGCTCCAGCGCTCTGAAACACTTTTAAGGACCCTAGGAGGGCGCGGTCAGAGTTCCCTATTTCTTCATAGCCAATATTTTTGAATATCCTAGGTCAATTTTAAGAGCTGGATTTCGGTGCTAGTCAACTATACAACTCCAAAACTCCAAGAATTCGTCGAGACGTCGCATGTATGAATAATTTGGTGCCCTAATAATAAATATAACATTCATTTTTGGCGCCATTTGGTGCATTTGCGTCAATTTGGTTGGACACCCACTTTAACCGAATTCGCTTTAAACTGACGTAACGAGGTCGTTCAATGTCCTGATTATGGACATAAGACTCGCTTTTACTCCATTGGCGCCATTTTGGCACAACTGGGACAGTTTGGGCACCAAATTGGCGGCGGCGTCGAGACTACACGAGAAACCACAGTACTGCAAAATCGCAGAATCTGAAAATCGCAAACTATGGCCACAGCCTGATTCGTGATCAGCGCACTGAACTTTCTGAAAAGCAGACCTCCAGCAGAAAAAAATGGAACTTCCGGCAGGCGGCTAGGGTTGTACTAGTTGAGTGATACTCCATTTTCCAATGTAACCGAACAGCTCATAGAAATAATACCTAGTAGTGACATAGGGGCAAAGGGTTAGCCTCCATCCTCGTGTTCGCGGGGCATCTCAGGTTTCTGCCGTTGGGTTCTCTTCCATTTGTGTGTTCATTATGTGTAGTCTATTTGTTTGTTATGAATCATATGACCTTGTTTACCTATACGATAGATAAATACACTTGTCGTCAGTAGACCTAAAATGCCCTTAGGGAGCCAAGGTTTAGTCTGAGCGCAGGGAAATAAAGATCAGTGGATTAGACGAGGAATCAAGGAAAACCAGAATGCCATATGGAAGCAGGTCGGTTCAAGCGGGATATTCGGATCAGGGATTGGGAAACCATCTGCCAGTCTCTAGGGAGGTTCGGCCAGCGGCCGCCAGCCAGCCAGCCATTCACCCCAGCCGGCCACCACCCACCCGTTCATCCCGCGACGCACAATCGGTCATGAGTGTGTGAGAAGTGTGCCTCCCGAGAGCGCCAATCTGTGTTGACTTGATTTCGGGGCTTTTTTTGATTCATAATTCATCATTCATTCAATTGCTTGACCTAATTTCAACCCCTTTCTGGAAAGAGTGCTTGGAGCCGCTCCACTCAGAATTTGGAAGTTTACCCCGGACCAACCCTTCCTCTGCTTTTTTCACCACATTTGAAACAGTATTTTGAAATGATAGTTCATATTCTTCCTGTGGAAACTCAGCCTTCAAGTTTCGTAATATATTTGTTTCGTTTAGTTCGGTCATTGTGCCGTTGCTTCAGTTCATTTTCAGTTAGCGCTCCCTTAACTCGTTTTTCTGAATGCTTATCAATTCCCAGTCCATTTCCGGGTTTCTGTGGCATTTCAACTAGACAGCACTTCAGTTGTGGCGAATATCGATCATCGGCAGAATAGTATTGCTTTTCCAAACACATCTAAAACAGGAATTCCTTCCCATACACACTTTTC